AATGCTATAAAATCGGACTCCATTGTGGATCTGGCAATAACAGTCTACTCAGAAGATTTCCATAATATGGCTGCACCTCCCAAAGTGAACAAATATCCACTAGTGGATTTAGAATATTTCATATCCGATATCCAGTTGGCATTACTATAGCCTGCAATTACAGCTGGATATTTACAATAGTGCAAACCATATTTACAAGTATATCTCAAGTATCTAAGCAATCTCACAATTCCTTTCCAGTGTTCATCTCCTGGATTACTTGTATATCTACTCAGTTTACTCACTGCAAAAGCGATGTTCGGTCTAGTACAATTCATTAGATACATCAGACTCCCTATCACCTTGAATATTCGACTTGAGAAACACTTTCTCCTTTACTTTTTGACATATGTTGACTTGTATCTATCGGGGTCCTATCCTGAGTCAAATCATCCTTATTAAATTTTTCAAGGATTTTATCCACATAATGTGTCTGACTCAGAACAATTTCTTGTGATGTTCTATGAATTTTAATTCCAAGAATCACATCAGCTAGACCTATATCTTTCATGTCAAATCTTTAATTTAACATCTTTTGTGGATTTAATAATTTTTCATTGCTTCCAACAATGAGCATATCATCTACGTAAAGACATAGGATTACATAGCCCTTTCTGTGTCTTTGACATAAATACATTTATCACATTCATTAATTTTAAATCCACATTCAATCATGACATTATCAAATTTCTCATGCCATTATTTTGGAGCTTGTTTTAAGCCATACAAAGACTTAACCAACTTGCAAACTTTATTCTCTTGCCCGGTAGCAGAGAACCCTTCATGTTACTCCATATAAATCTCTTCTTCTAAAATTCCATTTTGAAAAGCTGCTTTTACATCCATTTGATGTATTTCAAGGTTTTGTCAAGCTACAATTGCAATAATCACTCTGATGGATGTTATCCTCGTCACTGGAGAATATGTATCAAAGTAATCAAGGCCTTGTTTTTTCTTATAACCTTTAATCACAAGTCTAGCCTTATACTTATCAATTTTTCTATCAGGTTTCATTTTTCTTTTGAAAATCCACCTGTAGCCCAATGGTTTACTTCCAGGAGGAAGATCCACTAGCTCCCATATGTGATTTTGCAAAATGAAATCAATTTCACTTTGGATTGCCTCTTTCCAAAGAGGTCCTTCAGAAGAATTTACAGTTTCTGAAAACGTTTATGGTTCACTTTCAACCATATAGGTTAGAAAATCTGGACCAACAAATTTTTCTATCCTACCTCTTTTACTTTTTCGAGGTTCTACCTCAACATATCCATCTTGAACCTTTTCCATTATTTCCAAATTTCTTTTAGTGGAACTAAAATCCACTTCAGACTTATGTGGAAATATATGCTAAAAAAAAAAAGCATTTCTAGATTCAAGTATCGTGTTCTTATAAATTTCCTCAATTTTGAATTCATGTACAAGAAATCGATAAGCACTACTGTTGTGTGCATATCCAATAAATATGCAGTCCATAGTTTTCGGTTCAATCTTTATTTTCTTTGGCGTAGGTATTGCTACCTTTGCCAGACATCCCCACACTCGCAAGTATTTGTAAGATGGTGGTCTTCCATGCCATAATTCATATGACTTTTGTCTATCTTTTTATGGGGAACCTTATTTAAAAGGTAATTTGCTGACAATACAGCTTCTTTCCACATGTTCTGTGAAAGCCCAAAACTTAACAACATGGAATTCATCATTTCTTTCAAAGTACGATTTTTTCTTTCTGCAATTCCATTTTGTTGCGGTGAATAAGGTGTTGTCATTTCATGTCTTAACCCATGTTAAGCACATAACTCAGTAAAACATGACTCATATTCACCTCCTCTGTCACTTCTTATCACCTTAATCTTTTTATTTAACTGATTCTCAACTTCATTATTATAGAGAGTGATATGGGATATTATATACACAAGGCTAAACCGGTATGCTGGGCCGGTCGAGAAGGTTAAACCAAGAGGGAGCCAAGCCAAAAGGCGGGAAGATCGAACATTCAGGGAATCGACCAGGCAGGTGGTCGACCAGTTCACCGCACGACCAAACTAACGATCGAGCAACCCATCGCTCGACTAGATACATGATCGAGCAACCTATTCAACCTCAATAGGTCGATCGCTTCGAGGAACTAACAGTCGGCCCAGTCATGGGCGCGTGTATCACGGGCGCGCGTAAGAGCCTCCAACTGAGTCCCAGGAGAATATTTACCCCATGTGCAGGGGGGACACGTGTCGACAATGTATTGGGTGATAGCAATAACCACCTCTGACAGCCCCCAACGCCCCGCGCCACCTCTGACATGTGCGCGGCGTGCCAGAGTACGGATGGGCAGCTTGGGCAGCCAGCTCATCCTTATCCGGGCAGCTATTAGGGCAGGTATCTCACCCCTATATAAAGGGGGTGAGCCTTTCTCCTTGGACACATTCTATTTTCCATACTTCACTTCAGTATACTTATACACATACTGACTTAAGCATCGGAGGCTCTTCACTGGACACAACCCCCGGTGTGAGAGTTATTTGCAGGTTTCCGGCGTTCTACCGGCAAGGACCCAGATCTATCCGTTCGAACCGGACCAGGACGCTTACACTTGTATTAGAGAGTAAATTTCTCTATCGCTTCATCCTTACTTTTGAAAAGATACACGTAATAAAATTTAGTGCTATTATCTACAAAAGTAATGAAATATTTATTTTCACCACGTGCCGTGACAGTTTTTAAATTACATATATCAGTGTGAATTAAATCAAGTGGTTCACTATTTCTTTCAATAGTTTGAAATGGTAATCGTGTCAATTTTTCTTCAACACAAGTTTCACACATATGATTTGAATCAATAAGGAACATAGGTATGCTTTTTCAAACCTGCAAGGGGTATTATAATTGACATGTCCCAGTCTACCATGCTACACAATGGAAGACTCAAGCATATCAACGAAAGAATTAACATTTTTATTAATTGTCATCACATTGAGCTTAAAAAGCCCATTACATTCATAACCCTTCCCTACAAATGCTTCATTTTTAGTCAAAATGACCTTATTAGATTCAAACACTACACGAAAACTATGTTTGATCAACGAAGAACCAGACAATAGGTTCTTGCGAATTTCTGCTACATAAAGGACATTATTAAGAGTCAACTCTTTTGTAGATGTCATCTTCAGTACCACTTTACCTACTCCTTTGATGTCAGACGTGGCGGAATTTTCCATGAAGAGCTTTTCTCCAACCATCGTCTCATCAAGGACATTAAACATTTCCTTGTTTGAGCAAACATGACGGGTAGCACCCGTGTCAATCCACCATTCATATGGATTTGAGCCCACTAGATTCACCTCAGATATAACTGCGGCGAGGTGCATCTCATCAACATCTTTGGCCAGATTTTCCACCATGTGGGCTTCTTAAGTTTTCTTTGGCAACCTGCAATCAGATGCCTTATGGCCAGGTTTACTACAATTATAACAATTTCCAGAAATTTTTTTCTTAAAAATCTATTTCTTTGGCCCCATTACTGTCTTTCAATTATTGCCAGTTTTTATTCTTATTATTTTTGTTTGAGCTTTCGCCATGCTCAACAACATTAGCCTTAGCCAAATGAGGGTTAACCATTTTGTTGTCGTAGCCCTTGTTGTCTTCTTCAATTCGAAGTCTAACAACGAGCTCTTCAACGGTCATCTCCTTTTCTTATGTAATAAATAATTTTTGAAATCTTTCCACCTCGGTGGAAGCTTTGCAATTATGGCAGTCACCTGAAAAGTTTCATTCACCACCATTCCCTCGGAATGGATATCATGCAAGATTATTTGAAGCTCTTGCACTTGACTGATTACAGTCTTCGAGTCAATCATCTTGGAGTCCAGAAACCGACCAACAGGAAATTTCTTGGCCCCAGCGTCTTCGGTTTTATATTTTTTATCCAAAGACTCCCAAAGCTCTTTCGCTGTTTTGATAGTACTGTACACGTTGTACAGTGTATCAGCCAAGCAGTTCATCACATAATTTTTACATAAGAAATCAGAGTGATTCCATGCATCAAACGCACTAACCGCTTGAATATCTGGATTTTCCCCCAACTTGGGTGGATTTTTTGTCAAGAACCTCGCAAGGTTCAACGTAGTGAGATAAAAAAGCATCTTTTACTGCCAGCGCTTGAAATTCAAGCCATTAATTTTTTTTGGTTTATCAGCATGATTTATCGAAACATAAGGAGAAATTGAATTTGTAGTAGCAACACCGGTATTAGCAACGCCAATAGTATTTTGTTCAGCAGCCATCTTTAATCGGAATCTATATTAAGATTGTAAGTAACTTTATCGGGAAAATAAAAAATAAGATGGCTAAATAATAAAATACCGAGGCCTGTGAGAACACAATGTGCTTAAAACAGATTCGCCCCGTATGAGCGTCTGATTCCCAGGATACAGCAAAAAAATCAAAACAAATTCGGCGAACTGGAACTATGCCTGGACCAAAACACTTAAAAAGAAAAATGGGGGAATAAGCCTTTGAGAATATTTTCTTTCCTTGGTTTCATGTTTTTTTCTTCACAATTAGAAAAGACTTATTTAGTCATAAGACAAGTCACTTCATTAATTAAACCATTTATTGCAAACTTGGTAATGTCAAGTTAAATGTAACATTTATAAAACCAAGTTACATCTTTAATAACACCATGTTACAAGTTTTTGAAAGTAGAAAACACGGTTTCAAAACCAATTCTCAAATACAATTTTCATTCAATTTTCCAACAAATGTTTCCTTATGCGCCTAATCATGTTAATGCTACATGATTTTCCTCATGCATGCAAGCTCTAGAGCTATACATCCAAGTTGTACATTTGATTTTTAATAGTAAATACACAATTAAAAACCAGAAAATTAATTTTAAATAAATAATAAAAAAAATTAGTAGAATCTGTGAAATAATAAAATGAATAAAATCCTTCCCTGCCCAATAATCACACCACCAAACCCAGTAGTATATTACAAAGCAACAAGAGGTTGAGAGAGGCGAGGAGCGAGTAACCCCTGCTATTGCTGGGGACAAGCCCCGTGAAGCCAACATCGTACGACACGCTCCCATCCGCCCTGAATAGCCCGAAATTCCTCTCGGAGGTTGGGCCGGGCTTCAAATTCTCATTGAACAATGCAAACACGTAGGCCCTCACCACCCTCTTTGGCCTATAAGGTGTACCCTTCTTCTTGAGGAGTCTCTTCCTCAAGTTGCGATTGTACGTCCTCGCATTCTTCAAGTCGGCCCCGGCCTCGTCGGCATCCCCCTTGGAGGCCCAACCCGTCTCGGAAACTATGACTTCCATCCTCCCGAAACCCACCTTCTCTAGTGCTGCGTACGATGCGTCAACCATCGCGTCAAACATGTTGTCATAGTGAAGCCCGGTCTTTGCGTCGTGAATCCCATCATTCTTCAAAAACAGTGCGTAGTTCAAGTCTATGTGCTCCGGGTCGCTCTTGTACGCCAGAAACGGGTATGCGTTAATGTAGAAAGGCGTCCCCACCTGAACCCACAAACTCATGATCATTCGTGTTGTAGTACTTTTGGGGCTAAAATTTCATTTTCAGTACACTATATTGGTCAGCTTTTGAAAAAAATATCCCTCATATAAGGCGTCATCAAGAATAGTTCACTAAGTTGCCACTTTAATTAACATTCGTAAAATAACCAACATAGTGTATTAAAAATGATCACTTTTAGTACGTTAATGTACTAAACTTAATGGGCTATTCTTGATAATTCTTATAAGAGGGATTATCTTCGGAAAATGGCTAGTGGACTGTTTTTGAAATTTTAGTTGTACTTTTGTAGCCTAGTATTAATTTTTCATTCGTGTCGACTGACCTGCGCGAAAAATTGCAACAAGGGTCGCATGAACGGGAGGACGGTTTCCTTAAAAGCCCCGGCTGACGGGGGATAGGTGATGGAAAACACGGCTTCCGAGTGGGGACTCGAGACTTGGATTCGGTCGGCCAGGCCGAGTCGGACAAGGGCGTTGTAGACATTTCGCACGGCCGGGACAAGGGCCTCCGAGAGGCTATCATCGCCTCCTCCTCCGAGGACCTCGTTCCCGACTGCGATGCCAGCGATGAGGGTGCCGCCGCCGTCCTTTGCGAGGTGAGTCTCCACGTTGTCCTTTATCCACTCGACTGCTCTGTCCGCGCTCGTGGCCATGTCCACAAGGTGCTCGTTTCCGAGGCCCACGATGATCTCGATGCCCGAGTTTCGGAAGGCCGTGAGGACCGCAGGGTCAGCGTCGTAGATGCGTATGTTTCTGATGCGGGCGGCCTTGAGGAGGGTGACCACGCTCTCCGGAGAAGGGATGTTGTCCGCGATCCTACCGTAGTTGATGCCGTACGTGCCCGTGAACGAACCATGCACCACCAAAACTGTCAAATTAATATAATCAACATGTTGCAACTCATGACTAAACAATTGCCAATCACAACAAGCACGTACCGTTTGATGTAGGAAAAGAAAAGAGCACAACGAATAAGAATAAGAATCCCTGCATGATATTCAAACCGAAAAAGTGAATAGAAAGAGGTGATTTTGAGAAAGTGGGGACAACATGAGATAGATATTATATCGTTTTGTAAGTTGAGAGGTTTTTACCAAAAGAATGCTTACTTAATTTGCAGGCAAATGCCAAGCCATTGTCGTCTTTTGAGGATTGAACAAAACAATGAAAGATTCCAAACCTAGCAACAAGGAAAAAATGATTTGTTAATAATAAGAAATGTTGTTTTAGGATGGTGGCTTGGAATGAGATTCCTTACTTTTCATCAACACATCAAGTATGCTTTTTGTTCATCATGCGGAAATTCTGCAGTCCCATTACGAAACCATTCCGTTGGAGTTTGTAACCGACTAACCGTTAGATCATAATGTAACCGTCGGGTATAGTTGATCTAACAGTTACAAACCCTGACGGAATGGTTCCGTACCGTAGCATATATATCCCGTTCAATCATGAATCTTGATGCTTACTTTCTTAATGACAATCTTTTTTTGGAGCTTTAGGTGTTCCTATAAAAGATGGTCAAGCATGAATGGTGAGGAATGAGGATGTAATAATCAGCTAATCACAAAGCCAACCTGAAATAAAATTCCCTTTTAGAGAAACTTTTTGTTTGCTTCCCCCAACTTCTCCTTTCAACTGTCGAATTAGAAAACAACTTAACAAATGGTCCATTAATTTGGCCTAATTACATAAATTGAAACTTTCATAAATAATCTATTAATTTATTCCCGAAAAGATTTCCAGACTCTCTAACTGAGTGGATGCAATCACAAAGGCTAAAAGACATGATTATGTAACTATATATTGACAAAATAATTGGAGCTTAAGAAATTCCAAACTTACATTCCTAAAACTTTTTTTTATTCACTAAATATGATATTCAAAAAGAGAACTAATTAAGCCAAGAATCAGCTTAATTATATATAGTTATTATATATATAGAGAGGGCCGCGCTCCGGTGAGAATAGTACACGGTGAAAGAAACAAGAATAAATCCTAGCCGTTGGATCAAAGGATCCAACAACTACAAAAAAAAAGTCAAAATCTTGCACTCAATAAAGGTATTATGGACATTACAATTACACATTCAACTAACTTCCTGGGTCCCACGCCACATCACAGTGCCATGTCATCATCTTTTTTATCACATACCCACCCAAAACACACGCACACACATGGAAGACACACGAGCACACACACAACACACACATCACACACGCTGACACACATCACCCGTCGACGACTCACTGTCACACTTCCTGCCGACGACTACTGCTCCGCCGCCAACGCCGTGCTTCCTGCCACAGTCGGAGCCGTATAGAAGTCCAACAACAAACAAACACGGCCGGTTTCCGTCCTTCTTCACAAGAGCGGCGCGCCGCCGCTCAAGTCATCGTCTCCGGCGCCATCCTCCGCCAAGCTCGACGTAAACCTCCTTGATACAGATGCAGCGGAGCTGAAATCAACCTTCCAGCTCGAAGGTTGAATTTCAATTGCGGTTTCTGTAAACAAAAAAAAAAAAGACCAAGGATCCGTTAGTGTTTAGATTAACCCAAGGAGCCTGGCGACTCAGCCAAACAATAGTTTTGGGTCGTGGGTGCTGGATAAGCGATAGTGTGGGAGGTGCAAAACGATGAGGAGGCGTGCAACATGTCCAGTGTCTTGGCATGAGTCTGCCCAGAGTGGTGAGGAGGGAAAGATGTCTGTCAACCTGTAAAATAATATGGACCACAAAAAGGAAATATCCCTATGCTTCGCATTATTCCTTTATGTCTAAGTGGACCAAAGAATCAGACAAGGAATAAGTAAGCCCACATGCCTATCGTATGTGTTATGTGTGAAAAAAATCAGAAGCTCAATGAAGTTATATGTTGTAGGTATGGGTATATGGGTGTATCAGGAATAATGTTCCCACACTCTCCTCACAGTATCGCTCTCAAGAAACAAATGGTTGAAGGTCTCCATCTGAAAATCACCGGTCTCAGCACAACAATAACAACGTGAGGGGAAGGAGAACCCCCTCGCCTACATCAAAGTATCAATTGACAAGCAACACAAAAGAAGACGCCAAAGGAAGACAAAGATGGTGGGGGGTAAGTAGGTCGGTCTAGATTGCCCTAAAGAGAAGGTTAGGCCGGTCCCTCAGCCGTAGTTCCCCTGAAGTTGAGGTCGTAGAGAATGAACCCGAAGATGTAAGTCTCCACCTTATACCATCTAAACCGTCCTCCGAGATGGGTATTTGTTGGATCTGATCTATCTATTGGTCACTAAAGCCCACTTCAGTGCCCAAAATCCTCCTATCCATATCCCAACCCCCATCCGTCCACAGGCCCTTCACATAGAGAAAGGGAAGGTGGGTGACGTATCTAGTACTCGAAAGGGTCACCTCACCAAACCACCACTCATCCCAAAAGCTAATGTCCCTCTCACCCAGAGTCCAAAAAATGTGCTTCTAAGCACGTTTACCAACCATGGTGAGGCAACTCCACTGTATGTTATTGCAGTTAGTGGTCGTCACCTTACAAGGGTGGGCAGCGCCTTTAAGGCAGTACTTCCAGCGAAGATACTGGGCCCAAAGAGACTAACCCTCCGTAAAGCGCCTCCACATCTTATAAATTAATGCAGTGACGACGTCCAAAAAATGACAGATCCTGAGGCCCCCCTTAGCAAAGGGGCGATAAGCGGAGTCGCACTTCACCCAGTGGACCTGTCTCTCTTTTTGGGAGCCCTCCCCATGCCCCCAAAAACAACGAGCCAAGATCTGATCTAGCTCGTGAATCATAGACTAGTTGGGGTCAACGACCGTAAGAAAGTGGAGCGGGAGGGCGCTGAGGGTGCTCTTGATCAGTGCAAGCCGCTTCAAAAGAGAGGTGTCTGTGAGACCAGCCGGAGATCCGTTCAATCAGCCTCTGCCTGACACCTATGAAGAGATCATGCGAGAGATGGCCCTTGTATATGGGGCACCAAGATAGGTGTTGGGGAGGTCTCCTCGCGCAAAACCATATCGCTCGTGGACCCAATGGTCCTGCTGGTCCGAAATGTGATGGTCAAGGGTAAAAGTACTTGTATGCACATTGACAAGCTGATCGGAAATCGAGCTATAGTGCCCCAGAAGGTATATGAGCTCGGTCAGGCCATTATTATTCGCACGAGTGAAGATAATAATGTCATCTGCATAGGAGAGGTGGGAGATGGGAGGACCGTATCCACGAGTGTTATAGGTCATCCTCGGAAAATCGCTAGTGAAGTCGTCAAGGCAACGAGACATGTAGTCCACCGCAAAGACAAAAAGAGAGGGGGATAACGGATCCCCCAGCTGAAGACCACGGGTGGAAGGGAAAAGTCCGTGGGGCTACCGTTAACCAGAACCGAGAACGTGCAGTGTTCCACGCACGTGTTGAGTAAATTTTTGGGTATTGGTAACCGAGTTACCCGGCCTCGGGTAGTTCTCAAAGGAAGGCTATTCGGAGCTTCGGTTACTACCTAGTCGTCAAAGTCACTCAAACGAAAACATCCTAGACATGCTAATCGCTTGGTTTGGGTTGAATTTAAACTAAACTAAACTACTAGTTGAAAGCATGAGAAAGCAAGTAAAGCATGAGCGCATGAGGGAGAAAAAGAGAGAGAGAGAGAGAGAGAGAGAGAGAGAGATCAAGGGGGAAAGAGAGAGATTGGTTCATCGGAGTCATCATGATCAAAAGCACGCAAAAATCCAACCATTGCCATGTTTGCTAAAAACCGTAGAAAGTCAAATCAAACTCTAGCATGAATCGAGCAAGAATTCAACTCCTATCACACTTAGTCAAATATTCTTGATCCAAAGCAACAATCTTTTCTTCCAAAATCTCAAGCACAACATCAATTTTACCAAAGCAAGAAAGATATACTAGGTAAT